ATTTTGTCAAGAATCTCAAGATATATAGCAGGAGCATCAGACCAGATGTGGCAGCAATATTCAATGCACAGACAAATGGTGGATTTATAAATGTACAAGATGCAAAAAAAATTGTCTGGCACGACACATTGAACCAACTTTCCTAGCAGCAGACCTAACAATTGATCCAATGTCAGTGGAAAACATGAGTCCAAGAAGGTGCAAAGAGTTTCTCGCCTGAAAGTTAGCATCAGCCATGCTGATGGCAGACAAAAAAGGTTCTTTATGGCAATTAAATTAAAACAGTTTTGTTTTGGAGGCATTCAAATTTACAAGCCATTCCTTGCACCAGTTAACAACTGATTGAAGAACTGTTTTGAGAGCAACTGCTAGTTTTACTTGATGAGACCTGTCAGAGTTGCTACTAAAATTGGATTAATTTTGCCATCAGTATAAATACCTATTTGGAACTGATGATATCGGGAAGGCTGTTGATGACAATAAGAAAGAATATAAATTCAAAGATATAAGAAACCCCGCAATGATGTGCTTTTCAGAAACATGTTAATTTCTTTATCAAATAACTTCATTTCAAATTGAACCCCAAAATATTTAAACACTGATTTTAGAGCAAGTTTATCGCTAACTTCTTATATGAGGTAGCACCAATTTAAGGGGATCAGAAGCAACATACATAATTACAATAATACCTTTTTCTGTGTTAATGTTTAGTTTTTATAGCTTTTATTTAGCAGAAAAAAATTTTCTCATTTATTTGCTAGTGAGGATGTTAGTGTTATATGTATCTATAAATGTTTTTATGCAACAGAACTCTAGATTTAGAAATGAAATCTGGTAGATTGTGGATGCTTGCACTGTGTATTTTATTATTTTATATTTATTGAAAAAAGAAGAAAATATGGATAAAAAAGACGATTAGAAAATATTCCTTAGTTACTGCCGACATGTTTGGTCAATCCGACTTTATCAAGGCAAGTTTAAAAGCGAAATGTTTTGTGGTTACATCAAATTCAAAATATTAAAAAGGGAATGCTCCTGTGTAAGCTTCCTTCTGGAAAAATGGTACCTTTTTTTTTTTTTTTTAAACTAAGAATTTGTTTTAGTTTTCCATGTCGTCATATTGTTAAATGTCTCAGAAAAATTCTGAAGTGAAGACAATTTGGATAAAAAAGATGACAATTGGAAAATATTTCTTAGTCATTGCTGATGTGTTTCATCAATCTAACTTTAATTAAAAGAAAAATATGTCTGCCTTATTTTTTATTTTAGAAATGTGAGTGGTGTCTGCAAAGAAAAGCAGACAGATGTTTAAGCTTGTAGTGGAGCTTTATTCAATACACTCTGACTGCTGCCCACTAGTAAGGTTCGAACATTTCTTTTATAGTTGAGGAGCTTGAGGGGGACAACTATGGTTGCCTTCATCACAGTGTCATCAGAAAAATCCAAAGCAGTCCTTTATAATAGTGAATACAATAAGTTTGCCATCTTTCTTTTCTGTATTTGTATTTTCCTCCCCATTTCATTAACCTTTAGGTGTATGAGTTAATTCATTCTGATCCAGTGCAGGGCTGATGTTTAAAGAAGCTTTTTCTACCTACATTTATATACAGGGTGCAATGGGTAAATTGTTGCCATTTTATATTTTCAATTTTGCATATGCATGTTGTTTTTGATTTTGTTGACTGCACAATATAGTAGGGTTAGTTGGACACAGTCTGTGAGAAAAAGAGCACCATGACACAATTCACTCAGCAGAAATTTGGAAACAGCATGCTGTACTGCTTGGTATTCGTAGCAGAAGCTCTAATACGAACATTTCAGAGTGTTTGTATGTCAATCTGAGGACAGTGCAGAGGATTCAGAAAGAGTTGGATGAGTCTAATGGTAATTATGAAAATGTTTGGAGTGATGGTGATGTTATTCATTTTTCCACGGGGCTTTAAACTCAACATGGAGACCTACATCAAGTGCCTTGTGGAGGTAGTGCTGCCCTGGGTCAAGAGGGTGGTTGCTGGAAGACGCTATATCTGGCAACACAACTCTGCAACATGCCATACAAGCAGGAGAATCCAGTCATGACTGTCAGACAATTTCTGCAACCACATCACATCTGGCCACCTAACACACTAGACTGCAATCTCCTTGCATGAAGCACAGTTGAGTGAAAACAACAAAACTCTTTGTAACACCAAAAATGAACAAAGCAAGGATTATGGCAGCATTCACCAACTTAAACAAGGAGATCACCCAGAAGAGTTGCAAGAGATTTCAAAGTCATCTGGGGGCCGTGGTTGAAGCCAATGGAAAATTTAATTGAATAAATTTACTCTTTAGTATTTGAAGATATTTTTGTGTAATTTTGGTAAATGTATCTGTTAAAATGAGATGTCGGTGTTATTTTCATTTTTGCATAATTTAGATGAGAATTTATCCATCGCACCCTATACCATTACAAATTAAACTAAGCACAACTGAGAAAAGGATGAAAATATTTTGCAGATTTTGCCATCATTCTGAGTCCAAATCCATGAATTTGTTTTGCTTTATATTTTATAAATATGCTTTTTCATCATATAATTAACAAAATAATATAACCTCTTGTATATAAATCATAGCTACTAATATGATTTTACACAACTCCATGATGGCTAGTACTGGACTGAAACAGTCTCTTCAAATGAATGACATACCAGAAATAAGTTTCAATCTAAATATTTTATGATTGACAACATAAGTTCTCCAAAACTACATTGTGGAAGTTACTAACAGTTAATTTTTAACTGGTATTTGCTTTCATCTTGAATTTTTTTTAAAATCACAAAATTACTCAGGCCCTCAAATTATAAGACAAGGAGTAGAAAGCACAATTTGGAAATAAAAAATTAATTCTGAATGAGATTTGAACCAATGCTCCTTTTGTCTCGGAAAGCCTGGTAAAGACCTAGCAGTTTCACAACTGGAATTGAGAGCCTGAGTTAAGTTGTAATAATAAAAAAAAACATTAAAAATTAAGATGAATGTGAATAGTCCAAATTAACAATAATGGTTGGCAATGTTCCATTGCAAAAAAAAAAGAAGAGAGAAATGAAAATGGAAGTAAATGCTAGTCAAAATTTAATAATAATTAATAATAGTTGACAATGTTTAATGTAATAAAAAAAATTGTATTAATAATAACTGACTTTATATTTCTTTTTTTTAAGTTAGAGATAAAAATTCAGGTAGAATTTTTTTTTGTAAAGCTATTTTATTTTTCCAAGACAGACATTTTTACTTCATCAATGAAATTTAACAAAAACTGAATTTGTTTGAGGTTTTTTCCCACCTTTCAGTGTCCATTGAGATCTGGCAGGAACTGTTTATTTCTTGTTTATAAAAGAGAAAGACATATCTTTATACTCTTATGCTCTTTTTATAGCTTGTAAACTAATTAAACCTATACTTTCACTTAAAAGAAGTCATTCATATCACACATTTGTAAACTGTTCCCCAATAAGTATTAAAAGAGAAAAAAATTAAAAAGAGGGGGGGGGTGATAAACAGTTTGAATAAACAAAAGGTTTTTGTTAATAACATGACAAATAGAAAACCAAAATTTTTTTTGATTTACTCCAACTGAAGGATTGGCATTTAGGAAAATTAAAATATTTAATTTAAATTAATCATATTGTCTAGTGTTACCTACTTGCAGAAAGTAGTAACACTACGCAACAATGGCATTGTCGATAGGATCTAACAAGCTGAGCAAACAATTATCATTTGATAATTACTAGTATGCACAATCATGGTTTAGAATACTAGCAGTTAAAGCTAGAATAAAAAAAATAAAGGATCCAAATTCAATCAGAGATGGAAACTAAATAACGGACCCCTTGTTGGCAACTGCTCATTGTAAGGCCATTATAAAATTATCAGAAATTGCACACCTAAGGTAGTTGAGTACATACTACTTCCTGCAAGTAGGTAACACTATATAACAAATCACTTTTGGAAAATTACATTAGCTTTAATAACATTTCCATTTCAAAGTTGTCTTATATTTTGTTAAATAAATTCTTATGTTGTATACTTATCTAATAAAAATTATTTTTAAATTCACCTCAGGAATAGTCCAAACATTTTAATAATAAAAAAAATGTAAACTAAATCCTCACTAAACAATCACAAAACAATTAACAAAATCCAATAATTACTCTTCTACTACTACAACAACTACTAGTAGCAGTTGAAGTAGTAGTAGTAATTATAATAATTTAAAAAAAAAACAGTATATTTGCTTGCTTTTATTTAAAAACTCCACCAAAATTCAGAATAATCAAGATAACTCCAAGGAATGAGTAGTTACAGTTATATGTTTTTATTTTATTTTATTGTTTAAATGTAATTCTGTAGCAACCAGTTCATCTAGGCAGTTTTAATGGAAGCAAAAATTAATGAGTAAGAAATAAAGACATGACCAAGGGAAGTAACTAGAGTAAACCTCAATGCCAAGCCAATCAGCTTTACAAAATAGGTATCTATATTAACATATCTTTTTCTGCAAATCAGTCTGGAGATTTTTGATACTTGTACAATTTTTCGATTTTTTGTTCCTTTTTGTTTTTTCATTTTTTTTTTTTCATTTTCTTTTAATAATGTAATTTCTGGCAGTTTTTTTCCTTTCTGTTTAGTCCCCCCACCCAAAAGTTTATTTAAAAAGAAATAGGCAAAAAAGAAAAGAAAAAAAAATTATGTTACATTTTTTTTCAAAAACAAACCTAACAAAGAAAAACAAAATTTAGAAAGAAAAAAAAAAAAAGCTTCAAAAATAAGAAAAAAATTAGAAAGTGAATTGAATTCAAGATTTTCCGAGGGAATATTTTCTTAAAAATATTTTCTTTAAAAGTTATTTATTTTAAAATCTGTGCAATTAGATAGAATAAGTAGATGATAAAAAAAAATCAACATTAACTGAAAAAAAAAAAAAATGAATAGTAATAATAATGTAAAAGTAATGAAAGTTATTTAAAAAAAGAAGAAAAAAGATAAGGAAAAAGAAAGAAAAAAGATAAAGAAAAGGAAATAGAAATGAAAAAGAATAAAGAAAGAAAAAGAATAAAAAAGAATAATGAAAGAAAAAAGATAAAAAAAGAAAAAAGAAAGAAAAAGATAAAGAAAAAATAAAAAGAATAAAGAAAGAAAAAGATAGAGAAAAAAGAATAAAGAAAGAAAAATAAAGATAGAGAATGAAAGAAAAAGAATAAAGAAAGAAAAAGAATAAAAAAGAATAATGAAAGAAAAAAGATAAAAAAAGAAAAAAGAAAGAAAAAGATAAAGAAAAAAGAATAAAGAATAAAGAAAGAAAAAGATAGAGAATGAAAAAGAATAAAGAAAGAAAAATAAAGATAGAGAATGAAAGAAAAAGAATAAAGAAAGAAAAAAGAAAAAAGAAAGAGAAAGAAAAAAGGAACAGGTGCAATGCTAGGACTGAGGGTCTCCATATTTGTGTTCAACCATAAAATAGCAAACATTACTTTCTTCATCTGGGTTCCCGTCGGTAGTAGTGTGTCTCCTGCTATTGAGGGTTTTCAGCATGTTGTCAGGCACCGCCGTAATATCAACTAAATTGTCACTATGTATAACAGAACGCTGTTCTCTAGTAGCAAGACTTCTTATTGGTTCAGAAGCAGGGGACTCACTTCGACTTGTGGTGTCTGTAAAAACGCTGTCAGCATCTGAGCCTATCACATCCAGTACGGCTCCTTCAGATGAAGATTTGGTCACAGAAGTACCAGATGTCTTTGCTTTGAGTGATTGGTGCTCCTGGAGATGAGGCAAAGTTTCGCCCCTGATGCCTCCACCTCCGACATCACCATCTCCTCCTCCTCCTCCCCGACAGCTGCTACTGCCCTCGTTATTGTTGCCTGTATTGTTCTTATGTTTTCTGTTATTGCCACTACCTCTACTACCAGGACCTCCTCCTGCTCGTCCATTGGTGCTACCACTCGGAGGCCCAAGAAACCAGTCTGAGCGCTGCCGTAACCGTTCCATTTGCCGACGCTTCACAGAGTTGTAACGACTCAAGCACCGTGTCTTGTAATCCACTCTTATATCATGTAAGTTATCCTCCAAAGATTTCGGACGCTGTAATCAGAAAAAAAAAGGTATAGAATTAAAAGATGATAATGAGAGTATCATTAAGAACAATACATAAAAACTCCTTATCATTATAGAACCTGCAGCATCAAGTTTAACTTCCTAGAGCAGTTAACAATATATCACTTTAGAAATTATGGTGATCAGTCTTACTCAGACAATGAACAGAAGAGTGATTCAAGACCATTCATTGATGGTAACGAAAGCAATTATTGTCTGAGAGAGGCTGATCAAATATCTTGTGCAAAATTCTGATTCTTCTTACTCAAACAATCAATTGGAGAAAGATTGAAGATGATTCATAGAAAACACAAAATAGCTTTTACTAATATGGTGTACAAAAATATCCTTGATGATTAAAATCACTTAAAACTGTTTACTCTGGATACATTTGCATAAGCTGACTTCATGTATATTGCAATCACTGAAGTTTTTTTTTTCTTCATCTTTGTTGTATAATTTGTTTCATTTATTTTTATAACTTTTATTTCCTTGCATAATTTTATTTTTTATTATTTCAAATGATTAAGTAATGAGAAACAAAGACAAAATTTCTCAATTGCTATGTGATGTCAGTCCTCCAATATGGAAGGGAATGCTGAACAATCTCCTCACAGGTGAAGAGTAGACTTGAAACCACAGAGGCATAGCTCTACCAAAAGAATGCTAGGATTACTGTGGACAGAATTTGAATGGAAAGAACATTTTCAGGAAAATAATGACTATAAGGAAAATGATGCTAACAATCAGAAAGAGACAGGTGAAATTTCTTGGACACATAACGAGAAAAGAGGACTCTGAGACTTTAACACTCACAGGATATACTTGAAGGTAAGAGAAATGGGGGAGAACAAGTAATTGACTTAATGACTTTGAGTGAATGGTTTGCAGAACAAGGACAAAGAAGGATGGTAAAAGTTAGAGCAAGATGGGAAGTTGTGGAGAAATGAGAACAACATATACCAATCTAGTTATTTCTGTCATTTTCTGAACTTGTCAGTAGAAATTAATCAATATAATTGTTGAAAACTAGAGATTACTGGTTGAAATACGATTTATAAATGCAAAAGAAATAAAAAAAAAAAAAAACTACAAAATCTTCCATAATTTTAACTTAATTCGCCCGGGAGACAATTATAACAGCGTTAAATTCAATTTTCATTTCAGCAAACGATTCACTTGACCGAAAAATCTAAAGATAGATAATTAAAGGGAGATAACTTTTACATATGAATAAAAAAAAAAATGACACCAGTATTATGTTTATTTACGTAAATTAACAGATTTCACTGATAATTTTATGGAGAGAAAAAGTTATTCATTATCGTAATTACGATAATGAATAACTTTTTCTCTCCATAAAATTATCATTGAAATCTTCATTCACGTAAAATGTTGCTTAATATTTTGCTTTTATTTTAGGAATATTTAAAAACTAATGAAAACCAAACTCTTTAAAATATCTGCCCTATCTAAAAATACATGCGTAACACCGAACGGTAAATTGTAAATAAATTAAAAATATTGAAAAAAAGAGTCTTCTGTACATGATTTTTTTAATTTATTTATTTATTTTTAATTCGTTTTATTTATATATCTTCATTGCCCGACAAAAAAAAAGACAATCGATTTCCTGGTTTTCACTAGATTTCAACATTATTAAAAACAATCCTTTTACATAAAAAAAACCGACTTTTCAATCATTCATTATCGTAAATAAGCAACAATCAAATTTAATGGGTGAAAAACTAAATTTTAAGAAAAGTACCATTTAGATAAAAGTTATTTCCCTTTGATTTTCTAGATTTTGATTTTGCAGTTCAATGAAGCATTCGACAAAATTAAAATTCAGTTTAACTTTTGTTAAAGCCAGTTTCTGATATTCACCGTTCAGAAGCGAGCCTAGTTCTCCTTTGATGCGAAATATGCAGTTTACTTTGAAGTATACCAGGTGTAACTGCAAAATTGTCCAATTGTTAGATTAAGTTCCGAACTGTTGCATCATAAAGATATCTTAGTGGAATTCTCCAAAGTTTTTATAACACTATTTCTATTAGACTAATTTAAACAATAAGAATGAATTTTGGCGACGTGATGTGGCACATGGTCGTGTTTAATGTGGGGCACTTGAGTGCATACACCTGGGCCAGAGCCAGGGCCAAAACTTCCCCAGTCTCCACAACAATAGGTTCGGCTGACATCAATATCACTACTGTCCCTACCTCTTTCTAGTACAACGAGGAGGGTACCTCTCAGTATTTTTCCTTAGCTGCGTCTCTCCGTAGACAAAGACACAATTGAGATAATAGTGCCAAGTATAAGTAAACCACAATTACCTCCCCTACATTAAATTTATTAATTACTTTTAAGAGTTATTTCCTCCTAGTTTGACCGCTACTAAGTGGATTTTGCAGGAAGATTTCGTCATATTTCATATTTGGAATGATTTTATTACTTGTAAAATAAGAAGTGTGTTTAGTGTAACCATTATGGGTGCTTAAATTGTAATCGGCGAGCCGAGTACGAATTTCAGTCTAGTTTCTTGCATTCACTTTTTCCCTAATTGTTCTTGGGAAAGGCATGAATCCATTTCTTATCTGCTCAAGAGTTAAACAGTGTAAACTGGGATCTTCAGCCTTTGGTGGCAACTAGTCTAGGAGAAAGATGGTTGAATTTAAAACCAGCCAGAAGGCAACAAGTAATCACTCCACTATCATTCCCAAGGAGTTATGGCAATTAACAGATAAAGGAACACTAAGGAGGGCTATGATTGTTTTATATCTTCAAAGGACAAGGTATTAATGAATACAATTTAAAAAAATAAAAACAAGTGTAGTAATTAAACAATGTAAATTGCAAAGTAAAAAATAGAATAAAAATAGATTTTTCTGCATGAGAAAATTTGAAGAGTGTAGATTGATTCTTTTTTATGACTTATCAATCCTTTATAGATTCTTTTTTATGACTTGTCAATGCTTTATAGATTATTTTTTTTATTACTTGTCAATCCTTTATAGATACTTTTTTATGACTTGTCATTCTTTTATAGATACTTTTTTATTACTTATCAATCCTTTATTGATTCTTTTTATGACTTATCAGTCCTTTATAGATTCTTTTTTTATGACTTATCAATCCTTTATAGATTCTTTTTTATGACTTATCAATCCTTTATAGATACTTTTTATGACTTATCAATGCTTTAATGATTCATTTTTATGACTCATCAATCTTTTGTAGATTCTTTTTTATGACTTATCAATCCTTTATAGATTATTTAAAGCCAAATATATTGTAGAGTGTAAGAATAAGTTTTTCTTTTTTTTGTGAGAATAACAATAATTTGCCTAGATACAAGTCCTTATATTCAACTGATAACTGGGAGAAGAGACTGATTCATACATTTCCCAAAGTTATTTGTGCATAGGTGAATGCAACAAATCAGACTGGAATTTGAACTTGGCTCTCCAATTTCTCATTTCAAGGCATTAGATATTACAGCACGTGCACACCCTGCAGATATACTTGCCTTGCTAAAATCTGGAGATGGTATGGTTGAAACCTCTGGAGCTGATGCAGTTGTATCATTGGCTACAAGCTGTGATTCATCGCATGATCGAGACTCTCGATTGGATGCTGGCCAATTGGGTCCCACAGACTCTGACCGGCCATTTCCTCCTTCTGACCGAGCCAATCTTCTTTCTCCTACATTTTCATCAGATTGATAATGCACATGGGGGTGCGGGGAACCATAAAACTCCTCCTCAGTAATTGCTGCAGGGAGAAAAAAAAGTATTTAGATTTAGTGTAAAATACAGGTCATTTTTTTGAATGTCTAAAAATTGGAAAACATTTCTCAGAAAATTTTAAATATAAACTTACTGGACACACACACACACATATAAATTAATACATGTCTCATTGCATAATTTAGGCAAGTTTGTCTACTTATTTTCAATAGGATCCTCTCATATCCACAGACAATCTTCTTAATATCCTTATTAAAGGAAGAGAGAAAATTACCATGTTGATACATATTCATTTATTTTGAAAGTACTTTCAGCATTAGCACAATGTCATCATCAGGGTGTTGTTGTTTTTTCTAAGACAAAATTGTTGTGTTCATCTGAGAGTTAAATTTTTAACTATAAAGTGAAACACACTAAGGTTATGTCAGTCAGTTATGTGCCATGTGTGATACATGCTTAGTCGATCATGTATCTTTTGATACATGACTGATGAGGCAGATTTTTTCCCACAGTAGGTTGCCATTTCTTTCTGCGGTAGACCAGTTACCATCCGAGGCTATAGAACTCGGTCTGTCCTGCTATTTACCCATAGCTGTGTGGAGAAGAAAAGGATTCATACCTTTCCCAAGGGTATTAGTAGGTAAGTGAATGTAATGGATTCGACTGGAATTCCTCTATCCGAGCCGCTGTCCATTACTCCATCGTACCGTGTACTGTGCAATTTAAATTTCACAGTGTAAAAGTCAAGGGAGGTAAGTTTTTGAAATGTCCATATGTTTTTAAAAAAACAGTTATTTCCCCTGACGTTTACATTGTGAAATTTAAGTTGTACAGTATATAACTTTAACGTTTTTCACTTCAGAGTTAAAAATTTAACTTTCAGATAAACATAACAATTTTCTCTTAGAAAAAAAAAAAAAAACACCCTGATGATGAGATTGGGCTAATGTCGAAAGTACTCGGAATAAATGAATATGTATCAACATTGTAATTTTCTCTCTTCCTTTAATAAGGATACTAGGAAGGTTGTCCGTGAATATGAGAGAATCCTGGAAATAAGTAGACAAAACTTGTATAAATTATTCAATGAGACAGGTTCTAATGAAAACATGCTGCCAAATATATGCCATAAATATATATATATATATATATATATATATATATATATATATATATATATATATATATAGCCACTTGTTTCTGAGTATGACTGTCTGCTAGTTAATCCTTGTTACAGATGCCTGCTCAGGCCCATTTGTGTTTCTTCAAAAACCACAGAGACAACATCTGGATTATACTGCAACTATAGACTTTTGTTACAGTTTCTGGAAGAGAGAGCACACAATCTACTAAGATCAACATTTTGAACAAGGTCAGGACACTCAAACCTTCAGTCACAATGATTTGTGAATTCTTGCTAGCATAACTATTGACAGTTTCCAAACAGTTGCACTTACCCAATGTTGCTCACAAAGTTTAGGTCAACCTGTGATACAGTTTCCAGACAGTTCCCAAACAGTGCTAAATGGTTGGAATGCTAACATTCTAATCATTTAGCCACACAATCAATATATATGAGAGAGTGGGAGAAAGTAAAGAGAGAGAGAGAAAGGAAAAGAAAGAGAGAGAGAGAGAAAAGAAAATAGAAAGTGTGAGAAAGGAAAAGAGAGGGAGAGAAAATAAAACAGAGACAGAGACAGGAAGAGAAATTAGACTTCTAATCATTCAGCCACATGCCCAACATATATGAGAGAGAGTGAAGAAAAGAGAGAAAGAGAAATAAAGAAAGAATGTGTATGTGTGTGTGTGTGTGTGTGTGTGTGTGTGTGAGAGAGAGAATGAGAAACTTTCTACTGATTTTTCTTGGTCAGGTGTAGCAGGAATAGAAGTTACTTATCCATCCAATGGTGAGATTCAAACCAGGGTCTCATGGTTGGACTGCTAACATTCTAATCATTCAGCCACATGCTATATATATATATATATATATATATATATATATATATATATATATATATATATATATATATATGAGAGTAAGGGAGGAAAAGACAGAGTGGGAAAAAGTGAAAGAGAGTGAGAGAAAGAAAGGGTGAGAAAAAAAAGAGAAACTAATATTCTAATTATTCAGCCACACACCAATATATGAAAGAGAGTGAGAGAGTAAAAAATAGAGTAAGAGAAAGGAAAAGAAAGTGAGAGAAAAAAAAGAGTTGCTTTTGGATTTTTCCTGGGCAGGTAAAGCAGAGAGTGTGGTTTCCCATCCATCCTCTTTTTTTGCATACCAGTGATGAGACATTATATCAAATATATCTGATATTTAGACAGTGCACAGGGAGAAGTGCATTCATGCCTTTCTCAATGGCATCAGCATAAAGTGAATATAAACAACCTCAGCTGAATCTCAAGTTCAGTTTGTTGATTTTCTTCCTCATACTCATAGTAGCTCGGATTGAGGAATCGGAGAGCCAAGTTCGAATTCCACTTGAATCCATTACATTCACTTACGTGCTAATACCCTTGGGAAAAGTATGAATCCTCTTCTTCTCCATACAGCTATGGGTAAATAGCAGGACAGACCGGGTTCTATAGACTTGGATGGCAACTGGTCTACTGCAGAAGGTAATGGCAACCTACTGAGGGAAGAATCTGCCTCGTCAGTCATATATCGAAAGATACATGATTGCCTAAGCGGGTATCATGCATGGCACATAACTGAATTTGAGATTCAAGGAAACACATACACAATGATAGTGCAACAAATAAAATACAAAAACAGGATTGAGCTTTGTATTCTTAAAACCAGAAATATCTTCTATTCTTCTCATCTGTCTCTGCAGTCATATTTTTGGTAGGTTTTCTATGCAGAACATAAATAAATATTAAATGCTCAACCCTTTTTTATTTATTAATATCATATACTAGCAGCCATACACAGCTGGTCAATCAGAAAAAGCATTCAATTAGAATGGAGCAAAAACAGCATCATGTTTAGATGTAAAAGAATCTATCTTCTTCAATTACTTTAAAGTACTTTCATTAAAATACATTTTGAACTAATGCAGTTACTGATATAACCGAAGTAGTCTGTATTTATTCAATCGAAGTTAGCCGAGGACATGACGGGGTAAAACAGGCAACATGAAGACCCACTTCAGAAAGAAACCAGTAAAAATCGACATTTTTCACTATTTGCACCAGTTTCCACTATATGGGTGTACTCAATTATCAAGTTAAATGACTGTTAGTCAATTTATTGTTCGCTACAATTGAACGAAGTTTGTATTAGATTGCTTGAAAATTGAGGGAGTTTTTAGTTTAAAATTTGTGTTGAAATCGATTTTTCATTTTTTGCAATTTTTTCACTAAACACAATGGCATAAAAAATGACATCCTGTTGAGCTCATCATAATGTAAGTAACCTACATACCAAGTTTGAATAAAATCAGAGGAAAAGTTGAATTTATTGATTTTTGATTGGCTTTATTGATTAGATTTTTCAAAAAAATTATCGATTTTTTGCACTAAGAACTGATCTCTTACATTGTACAATTTATGTGTCAAGTTTAGTCAAAATCAGTTGAATGGATTTTGAGTGAACAGTATCACACAGACAGACAGACAGACACATCCTCTGTTTTATATATGTAGATGCTATATAAATGCACAAATGATGCTCAGCCTGTACAAGGCCCAAAAACCACTCAAGTTAGAGGATTACAAAGCAAGAGGCACCACCCCAAGCAAAGTGATAATGCCACCATAACACAAGAAGCCAACAGAAATGAAAGAGAAGGCAAATATTTTAGAAGCAATCAGAAAGGCAATCCTAAACAGGAAAGGAATAAAACTCTAAAAGATTGAGGTGGATGATAGATGAACCTATCTAGTCCTATTGAGGAAGAAAAGGGAAATAAATAGTAAATAAAATTTCAGAGTTTTAGACAGATACATTAAAAGCATAAAGTTGAAGCAGAATTTACAAGGAACTGGAAACCCAATCCTAAACAGGAAACAAGGGATAAACCTTTACTCTTGTTCAAAAGACCAAGAGGGAGTTATATTTATTGTGGAAATTTTAGCTGCAGTTTACCACCTATATAAGCTTTAATATTTGCTGTCACATGACATCTAGAATTATGATTTTTCGTATTTGTTTTACTGTTAATAAACCTTAACATCTAATATCACAAGTTTGATAAAAAGCTTGCATTGAATACATGTCCCAGTGCATCTACAGAGCCAGGTGACTTCTGGCCAATCATTTAACACAGTATAACCAGTTAATGTTACTTGGAGAGGAAAGAGGCACCTCAATGTAAGACCATTGACGGACACAGCATGGTAGTCAATAGGTGAGGTTAGTTAATTCAATAACATATCAACCCTTGTTGGATTATTTATTGCACTTTATTGTTGATACTCATGGAAGAGTAGATGGACAGATCCACCAATGAAACTCTGGAGTCAAGATGTTAAGTGACAAACTTTTATGCATATTAATTTTATATATATATATATATAACTGGCCACTCATATTCGAGGATACTGGTTTACTAGGGCGGCTAGCCAATCCCTATTGCAGACACTTGCTCAGGCACATTTGTGTTTATTCAACACACATAGCCCACATATTATACTGCAACTATGCTGAGCAGACCTTAGTTACAGTTTCTGAGCATGTTATCTAGCATGATCAACGATTTGAACATGGCCAGCACACTCAAGCTGTTGGCCATGATGACTTGTGACTTGCACAGCTATCGATGGCCCCCAAGTGTTCCATCTACCCAATTTCACTCACATGGCTTGGGTCAACCCGTGGTATGGTTTTTCAGGCACTTTCCAAAGGAGCCGCACGCTGGGATCAACCCCTCCAGTCCGATAACATCAGAAGTTTCCTTCCTGACAAATCGACCATGGTGAGATTTGAATCCAGGTCTCATGGTCAGAATGCAAACATTCTAACCACTCAGCCATGTGCCCAGTATATATATATATATATATATATATATATATATATATTTAGCCTACAAGCAAAAGAGCGAGCGAGAGGAAAAATTAGAGAACAGAAAATAGGTGAGAGAGAGAATAGGGGATAGGTGGGAGGATAGCAAGAGAGAGAATAGGAAATGGATGTGAGAAGGAAGATAAAACAGCAAAAAGACTGATGGTAGAGATGATAGGAAATAGGAGAAAAGAGAGAAGACAGGAAGCATGGGGAGGAAGAGAAAGAGAGGACAAGAAGCATGGGGGAGGAAGAGAGAGGAAAGGTCAGTAAGCATGAGAGGATGAGGGAGAAAATGAAATGTGTTGATAGAGAAAAAAGATACAAGGGAGGAGAGAAAAGGAAAAAGGAAGCAGGAGAGGAGGACAATGAATAGGAAGCAGGAGTGAGGAAGTGTGAGAAGGAAAGAGGGGAAGAGAAAGAAGGAAGCAGAGGAAGAGAGAGAAGGAAGCAGGGGAAGAGAGAGAAGGAAGCAGGAGAAGAGAGAGAAGGAAACAGGAAGAAAAGAGAGAAGGAAAATGGTAGTGGATTTAGGAAGTAAAATGGGACATAGAAGCTGAGAAATAATTTGTTGAGTGTTTGCACTGGGAGATAAATAAAGCAAAAAAACGAATCAGGTATCAATTTGTGTGAAGCTGAAAATGCCAGAACCAAACAAAAATCTGCTGCAAAGCAATACGAGAAGGGGGGGGAGAAAGACAGAAATACAATGCATCTTTATTTTATCCAGGATCACACAGTCAAGGGGAGGAAGAAAAAAAAACGTGAAGAAGAATATGGTTGTAAACTTCTGAAATAATTATATGTGTGGGTGGTGCCAGAAAGGTACGAGAAAGGAGAGTCAGGAGAATAGTAAGAGGGAAAGCAGTCAAGTAGTGAAACAAAAGGGGTCTGCCAACTTGCCCCCTACCAGCTAAGACATTGAGAAGCAACAGAAACAGATAACAGCTGTACCCGTGCTCCATCTTAGTTCTAAAGAACTGGCAAGTCGTCTTATTAGTATTTTACAGACTTTATTCACCACCACAAGTGGCTTGTTTGGCCGGCTTGGAAAATGGAGTAGGGTTAGTTATGTCAAAAACAAGGAAAGTATTTTTTTTTTTTTCTTTTAACCATGCATGGAAGAAGAACCCCCCCTCCCCCAACACACACATCCAAATAGAATATTTGTCACAGCAAGGGGCATTTCGTACACTTCACTAAATAAATGTAGGCTTTCTTTTTTCTCATGACCGCATTTTCTTCAGCTAGGAGCATAAAGCCAACATCTTGATGAAAATGCCTGGGTAGGTGAGCTTCATTATCAAAACAAACTGTCCTTCAATAAATGCTAATAACATTTAAAATAATTCCTACAAAAAAAAGGAGTTATTATACAATTAATATAACTCGATAACAGTATTGCTTGTATCAATTCCTGACCATTGACAATCCCTTTCTTCCTGATTTGATTTTCAATGCATTTCTATAAGAAAAACGTTTGCAACATTTTCTGTTGTGAATATTTATCTATTATAACAAAATAAGGTATATGCGTAATTGTTAGTTCAGCATCTAGGAAAGTTGTTCACCTTGTCATGCTAGACAATTTTCTTTTGCCAGAATCTATCTTGCACATTTACAAGTCTACCATTCACCCCTGCATTAAATATTGTTGTCACATCTGGTTTGGTGCTTCTGTTATGTATCTATAGATTCTTGATAAAACCCAAAGAAAATTTGTAATGCTATCAGGTCTGACCTGGCATCACAGATCCAAGCACTTTCCTACCATCATAATATAGCTTCTCTGTGTTTTTCTATAAATATTTTCATGGCAATTGTTCAGATAAGCTTCCCTCTTTAGTATTTTGTCCTCATGAATTTAAGTGCAGTACTATATCTAAGTCTACCATTTGTGTCCAGTGCTCCTGCTGTTTTCCTGGAGCTCCTTGATAAAATCCAAAGAATCAGCAATATTATCGGTCCTGATCTGGCAGCTCAGTTTCAGTCACTCCCCCCACCGCCATAAGGTTGCCCCTCTATCTCTTTTCTATAAATACTTTCATGGTAATTATTTGGATGAACTCTTCGTTATGCTACCTAGACTTTATGAATTTAAGCACAGCATAAAAATCACAGTTGAGTTAGCTAGATGTGGCCTTGACTTCTATGGTGACAGTTTCTTTTCTCGCATTTCTTGCTTGTGGAACTCCCTTCTGGTTCTATGCTTTCCAACCAACTTTAATCTGCAAAATTTTAAATGCAATGTCAATCGCTATCTACTGTCCTCTTGATTACTCTTTCCTCTTCCTGCTCATTATTAATGTTTCTGTTCCTAGTTCTTCTACACCCTTGTGTCTTAGTGGCTTTACTGCCTTGCATGGGGTAATAGTGATTAAAAAAAAAGTACTATATTGACAACTAGCTCACATCATTTTACTGTTGAAATTGCTAAACATAACCCTAACTTCTATGCTAAGAGTTTCTTCTCCCGACCTATCACTTGTGTGATTCTCTTCTGGCTTCTTCCTTTCCTGTCAACTATGATCTTCAAAAATTTAAATGCAACATCAATTGTCATCTCTGTTTCCTTGAATCCTGCAATTTTATTATCCTCTTTCATCAATAAGGTTTTCTCAGTAAACTATTGAGTCTTAGTGGCTTTATTGTCTTGCTTGAAGTAAAATTATATATATTTTTATTATAAGAGATTATAATAAAAACATTTTATAACCAGTTAAACAAACTAAAAATATTTAAATAAATAAAAAATTATTTTATAACCAGTTACCTAGCATCGCCTGAGGAAGTACAATCACAGTATTGAAACATGACAGCTTTTGTGTAGCGATTTAAAAATGTTTTTATTACAATCTCTTATAATAAAAATATAACAAGCAAAATTGTCCAAATTGTGTAACAGCAAAATTGTCCAATTGTTAAATTAAGCTCTAAACCATTGTATTCTAGAAATGATTAAAGATATCTTACTGGAATTCCCCAATGTTTTTATAAAACTATTCAGTTCTACTTTGAGCAATAAGAATGCATAATTACTCTCCAAGCTTAACAGAAGAATTGTGATGAAATCGATCATAAACAAAAATGATATGTTCATCATTAATTAAACATAGCTAAGGATCGGAAGCTCATGAAAGATTGAAATAAAGTTAATATATATATATATATATATATATATATATATATATATATATATATATATATATATATATATTCCAGGATCATTTTCCAACTTATTCAAGATAATATTTGCTCTCTCTAACCTTCTAACTTTTTATCCTGGAGTAGCAAGGTGCCCTACAGGTTTCACATAAGATTTCATTTTCAAGTCTTTATTCATTGCTCTTTGAACTGTCATAGCTGAAACTCCTCTCTCATGTGCCAAACGTCTTATGAATTTAGTTGGATCTTTTCTAATTGATCTTTTTAGCTCTAAGTTGAAATGATGATCCCTCTTGCTGTTGTGACCTCCTGATCCAGTTTTCCTCTCTACTGTTCCCTCTTTTTTTAAACTTATTCACCATTGTCTTGATGGTTCTTGAATGGACTTTGAAGATGGAAGTGAGAGTATGAGTGTTGGTACCATTACTGAATGATCTTTTTCCTTTCACTATTGCTCAGTTGGGAAGACAGTAGGGCTGATACAAAAATGATTTTAACCTGTTCTCTTTCTAGCCCGAATAACTTAAAGGGTTTTTCAGTGATTCTTAAAACAAATTCTATTAAGATGGCTAACTGTCTTATCTGAAAACCTGGGAAAAAGAAACTTAGTTTAGTACATTTTTAGATATTAAACATTTTGTGGGATGGACAATTATGCTGTTACATGATTTGGACAATTTTGCTGTTACACCATATATATATATACATATATATATATATATATATATATATATATATATATATATATATATATATAGTTTAAAACTTAGGTAATCCGTATGGGTAGACCCGAGGAGGATGATATCCAGAGAGCTCAATGTAAAATTCAGAGCAGATATGTTTGAATAAAACAGACCACGTTAAGATTCCATGTAATAAGCTATTTCACCATAACCCCTTGATGATCCAGAACCCTGTTAAAGGGGTTATGGTGAAATAGCTTATTACATGGAATCTTAACATGGTCTATTTTTATTCATATATATATATATATATATATATATATATATATATATAGTAACACTTTCTTTTGTTCAGGTACATTTGTGCTTGTTCCACACCCACAGAACTCATGAACAGACCTTAGTTACAGTTTCTGAAAGATTGATCAAGTTTTAAACATGGCTTCTGATCAGTTCCAACTACCCAGTTTCACTCAGAAAACTTGGGTCAACCTGTGGCAACCGTGCTGCAAACTGGAATCGCCTCTCCAGGCCAATACAATCAGGAAGCTACCTCCATGACAAATCGACCGTGGTGAGAATCAAATCTGGATCTCATGTACAGAAAGCAAACATTCTAACCACTCTTGATTAAATATAGCTATGCCAAGCATCTTGATCCTGACTCACATAATCCATTAGGGTTATTGAGGCACCAAATGTACTGCAGCTGCTGCATCAGTGGATGTGTCGAGGGAAAAACAGCCTGTCCCTCTCCAGGCTGGTTTTGAATTCAGTATTTCTTCTAGACTGGATGCCATCTAAGGCAAGTGAACCCAGTCTACATTGTTATTTTACCCATAGCTGGAGAAAATAGATTCATGCCTTAGAAAAGGCATAAACAAAAGACTTACTCAGAATTTGAATTTAGTAAAGTTATTCCACTTTCTGTGTCAAGTATTGACTATTATTAGCATGGCAAGTAAACTTCTGCTAATAGCACACAATATTAAGTCATAATATTAAGTCATAATATTTTATGATAGAAAGTCAAAAATAATTTATAAACAGAATCTAAAGAGTAAAGGGCTATGATTAAAGGGAACAAGATGATCACTAAACCAAATTTAACTAACGGAATACCAGTTGTTTTGTACCAAGATGGATGAGTGAAGAAAGCTTTCTGTACAACGAAAAAAACCTTAAACAAAAAAAAAGCAAAAAAAAACTCATGTTTGGTCATTTGCATAAATTTTGGAGAATGGGTCAGGCTGAGAAATTTTCAGCACCTACATATACAAACTGTTAACATAAAAGATAACACCGGCTATCTTGAAAAATTCTTGTCTCTGACATGTCATAAATATTGACAAATGCATCTAAGTGTATAACTGGGCAAACCACTCTCCTGTAATTGCTGTCTAGGCAGTAAGAACTAAAACACTGTTAACCCATACAAGCCTCCATCTAGCACACATATTATGGAGAAAATTAAAAATCATCCATTCTATATACACCTTATTTTAACAGAAGCAGGTATATCCAAAGTCTGGCCCGGGGTGCCAATTACAGCTCATAGTAAAATTTCATATGACCCCCATCCTCTGTCATAGAATGTATCACTTACAGCCCACCAGTATTGTCAACCAGAGTATGTAAAGTACACACTTTAGAAATGCAATTTCATGTTTTACCAAAAGATGATAGCAGCACTGTGTGGCCGTCCACTGGCAGTGTGACTCTGACCTTGGCTTTTCCCAACCAATTTCTAAAATCACTGCCTTTGAACCAGACCTGCCTTACATACTGAGGTTCAGACCTCAGTAACACCCTTCACATTAGTGCAGGCAAGTTATTTGTTTTAGTCATCTGAGATGAATAACTTCTAAAATCTTAGTGAATTAAATTTGCTTTGTGTTGGCCAAAATCAGTTATAAATATATTTGGACATTTGGACATGTGTTACTTTATGTTTTCTATTTCTTAATAAGGTGAATGTTGGTGTTATGTTCCTATTCATTGGTTTTTAACTTAAAAGTTGACAGACAATATTAATTACCAATAATATATAATATTTAAGATTAACCTGAGATATAGCTTCCAGGAAGTTCTTTTTTCTCAGACATATTTTACTTCATCTTATAATGGGCTTCAGATATGACAGGCTGATTTTGATAAGACCTTTTTAAATTTATTTGTCATCCATGTGAAGAAATGAAAATATGAAATTTGCAATAAAATTTTCATAAGATAATTCATTTGAATTTAATTTTGATGGTTCAAAAAATACCAAACAGAATGATTGACCCTCACGACTATTCACCTCATCAAACCTGTCCCTCATTGAAAAAAGTTTGGACATCCCTGCTCTAAAAAAGGCTCTGAAGATAATATAGCAGTAAAATATTTTCAACAAATATTCGCAAAACAAGGTTAATAATTTAAATAGATATGTTAATGCATCAGGTCCAGTGATAGCTGAACATTTGATTAAAAACCAGCAGTGTGCTTGGTCTTAAAGCCTGAACATGTTTTCAGTGCTGAGTAAGGCTAATACTGATTATCATCTGAAGGTTTTGGAATCAATATACATTAAATCCTACTAACCATCTCTCTGTAAACAGAAGTGGTTGGTAGGCTAAAAAAAGTAATTAGCCTTTAATGTTAAATTTTCTGTCTGTATATAACAATTTCATAAGTTGATTGGTCCCTAGAAATGTCTACTTAGTTGCATTTACTGTGGATTGGGGAGTTGAGTGCAAGATTTGCTAAGCAAATTTCATTTGGTACAAGAAGTTATTTTTCCTCCAATCTACGTATTGTTTTGGTGCCAGACCCCAATGTTGAGACTGATCTGGAAGGATGTTCTGCCTACACATCAAATTAGTTTTGTAATTTACAAATTCAGATGTCAGTTCAATGCTGACTATGTAGGCAGAATGTGTCAAAGTTTAGAATCACATATCAACCAACATAAACCAGGCAATATTCACAAGGGAAAAGTGAATAATCTAAATAGGTTCAGATCCAGTGATAGATGAACAGTTGATTAAAAACCGGCAGTGTGCTTGGTCTTATAGCCCAAAAATGTAGGACTAATACCAATTATCACTTGAAGGTTTTGGAATCAGTAGTGCTGGATTGCTATGTGATATCCATCATCTTATATGTCAGTGAATGTTGGACAATCTCCCCACGGATGAAGAGAAAACTGAAAACAACAAAAATGTAGTTCTACAGAATGATAATGAGGATTCCATGGACAGAGTGAGTAAGCAACAAGGAAGTCAAAGAAAATGGCAACAAAAAGGACACTTAGGCTCAGAATCAGGAAAAAATTCCTTGGATACATAATGAGGAAGGAGGGTGTACAAAACTTTACCCTCACATGGTATACTGAGAGCAAGAGAAATAGGGGAAGGCAGTGATAAGCTTGTGTGAATGGATGGTAGAAGGAGGACGGGTGTCTTAGCAAAGGGAGAAAATCTGCTTCGGGCTACAAATAAAAGGAAGCTGTGGAAAGCCATTATTGCCTATTCCCTGAAGGAATGTGATACATAGAAGAAAATAACATTAAGTCCTACCAACCATCTCTCTCTCCAAAGAGAAAGAGTGATTATTAGGCTTAAAGGTAATTAGCCTTATATGTTATATTTTTTTGTTTGCACAAAATTAGTCTGGGTTGGTATATTTTTATAGTCCTTGTGAACATTTTATATTTTATTTTGTCCTCAATTTTTGCTTTGATGAGATAAGACTTATAGACTAGTTTACTCATTTTTAATTGTCATATTTTGGTATTAATAAATTTATGATAATATATATATTTTTATTACCCCACTGTTTTATTCTGAATTGTTTCTTTTCTGTTATGAATCTCCTTTTAATATGTCTGCTTTTATTGCTATGATAATTTGTATTCCTGCAAAAATAATAAAATAATTATGTTATTCTGTTTCTTGCTTAAATTCTTAATTAGTAGATACGTTACTCTTTGTCATTACCTTAGATAAATAATGGACCATTGCATTTTGAAAAAGAAATATATCAAAGATGCTGTTTGGTCTGAGAGAGAGAGAGAGAGAGAGAGAGGGAGGGAGAGAGAGAGAGAGAGAAAGCAATAATGCTTTCATGCATTTAATGTCTGCCTCAGTGAAATGGAAAACTTATCAATTTCAAAACTTTTCATTTGTACCCCCTTACTTCTTTAAATAATGATCTGCATTCATACTTATAAATCCTATTGCAATATTTAATTAAAGTTGTTCTGCTCAAATATTTAACAATGCAATAGGAGAATTTCCATAGATGTGGAACTAGCAAGGAGCTTATTCAGTCATTAAATTAAGAAATATGATTCATCAGAAAACGAGAATAGCAAATTGTGATATTTTTGTTGGCACTAGTAATTCATACTTATTGATTGAATTCCAGGTTGTTCAAAACCGACCTATCCCACCCGATCTCTCTTGAAGATGTGGGTAATCCCAATATCCAATTGAGAGAGGGAAGTGGAGAGTTGGGGGCAAAATGAATCAAACATTGCCATTGGCCATGTCTTGTCCTCCATGCCCCCTCCCAATTGAGTGCTGGATCATCCACAACTACTTTCCCTGCTCCCTTTCGATTCAACCTTAGGATTGCCCATAACTGTTTTTGCCTCCTCCCTCTTCCAATCAAATGCTGGGTTACCCACAACACACCTCTTCTTCCATCAGATACCATAGAGTGAGAGTCTCAGCAAAGTTGAAAATAAATACAATAAAAAAAAAAATGAAGATAAAAGTAAATGTTAATCAAAACTTAATAATAATGGTTGACAATGCTTCATCTAATAAAGAATGAAGATGAAAGTAAATACTAGTCAAAACTTAATCATAATGGCTGACAATGTTTCATCAAATAAAAAAAAATAGAAATAATACAACTGCAATAATTTTCACTTTTAGGAGAAAGTTGTCTTGATGATAATTGATTATAAGTCATTCTGGTTATCATCTCTGTAATGATTGGCTGAGATTATAAAAAAAAAGAGGAAATGATTCAACTGGTCACGCAGTATCAACTGAAAATTATGATTTTTTTTGAAGGCTTTTAATACAGGTTGCACTGTTACCAGATTCCTAGAAGTATCACAACTCAGACTCCTCTATAGTGACTCACCATCCCATTTTTACAGCTAATTGCCTAAACCACAACCCACAAACCAATACATTAAAGATATCAGAACACAAGAGGCCAATCCCTTTTTCTTTTCCACTCAAGTAATCCCCAGAAAAAGGCCAAACTAATTTCTCTAAGTATAATGAAGAGTTCCACTCTTTCAAAGATAAAAATCCTCCTACATAAAGTTACTTCATTCAGCACTGATATGAAACATCGTAATTATGGTAGAGAAATAAAACAAGCAAATACCACATTTAAATGTTAATCTTTTATTAATAGACTTCAATCATTTGGAGTTATTTCTATTAATATATAAATCATAAAGACGAACACTGACAAAAAGGTTGGTACACCAGTTTAAAAACTTAGAAAACCAGACTAATGAAATTTGTAGTCAAAAGATGCTTTGACAATTTTATAGATTATCTACATCCTCATCTTTATTATTATCATAACACTACAGATGTTATGTCTTTTGTGCTTCTTCAGGGGTCTATTGATCCAGATAACATTCAAGGAATTTCAAATTAAATCCGTTATTTATTGATTCATTTTCTATGGCTTATCAACCCGTTATTTAAAGCCAGAAAATATTTTTAGATTGTAAGAATTTTTTTGTTTTGTTTTTGAACATAATAATAATTTAATGATACAAGTCTTACTAATCCATAGCTGGGGGGAGAAAAGGTGGATTCATACCTTTCCCAAGGGTACCTGTGAATATAACGAACCCAACTGGAATTGGAACACAGCTCTCTAATTAACAATTGAGCCATTATCCATTACACCATCTGCACATCCAAGCTTGCAGCACCTGGAATTCCCAAGTGGTCACCCATCTAGATACTGACCAGGCTCGATGTTGCTTAACTTTGGTGATCATATGGGAAGATTGTTCTTATTTGGCTCTATGCCTAGGGATATCTTTTTTCTTTTTCTGGCCATTAGTTATAGACCACTAATTTCCCCAAGAGACATTTCAGATTTCTTTGGTTACTGCATGGATCTGCCACGAATGTTTGGTGGCGCTATCTGCTAGATCAACTGTTTTTGAGAATTTTCAAACAATGTTAAGGTATTTCTATTTGATTTTTGTGCATTTAAGTTTTCCATTGAATCAATTGATAGTTCAGCCGCTACAGACTCACTATGTTGTGCGATATAATCTTTCTTGCCAGATCCATCTTGAACATTTATAAACGTACCATTCTTCCATGTATTGAATATTGCTGCCACATCTGGTCTGGCTGGTGCTCTAGCTATATATTTCAAGATTCTTGACAAAATTCAAAGAAGAATATGTAACATTATCAGTCCTGACCTGGCATCTTGATCAATATCTCACCACCATAATGTGGCTTCTCTTGTCTATAAATATTTTCATAGCAATTGTTCTAGTGAGCTTTCTTCATGAATTTAAATGTACTATGGATAGCGGCACGGATTGAGGAATCAGAGAGCCAAGTTTGAATTCCACTTGAATCCATTACATTCACTTACATGCTAATACCCTTGGGAAAGGTATGAATCTTCTTCTTCTCCCTCCAGCTATGGGTAAATAGCAGGACAGACCTGGTTCTAGAGCCTTGGATGGCAACTGGTCTACCACAGAAAGAAATGGCAACCTACTGCAGGAAAAAATCTGCCTCATCAGTCATGTATCAAAAGATACATGATTGCCTAAGCGTGTATCACATATGGCACATAATTGACTGACTAGATTGGCCACTATGTCTGATTGTTTTATTATTTAAATAGCTAGATGTAACCGTAAGTTCTATTCTAAGAGTTTCTTATTTTACACTTCTCACCTGTGGAACTCTCTTCTGGCTTTTTACTTTCCTGTCAACAAAAAATTCAAAAATTTAAATGTAACAACAATCATATTCTTCTGTCTTTCCGAATCCTGTTCTTTTATTGTCCTATCCCCTTACTAATGTTTTCTCATCTTCTTTCATTCTGAGTAACCACTTGCGTCTCAGTAGGATTATCCCCTTGCCTGGAGGAAAATGATAGAAAAAAAACAAAAAAACCTGCTGATGTTTAATCCCTGTCATGGTTTTACTAAATACAGGAAATTTTTTTTTTTGTGTTGTGTGAAACACAAACACCATATGTTATCCATAAAAGATAAGGTAGAATTTTTTTTTTTAAACCATGACAGTGGTATTTGTGCAATATTTGTGATTTATATAACATTGGCTGACCAAAGTTTATGATAAAGAAACAGAAAAATAATATAATCATCGGCAATCTAGCAAAATCGCTTATCTGGTACCCTATAGGTTTCAATGATTTTCACATAGGGACAGTCAACCTGTATTGATCAGTTATTGCTCGCCCTGTTTCAATCAAGTGAATCTGTACAACCCAGACCTGGCATTGAACTCACAATTAGTATGCCCTCGAATTCATGAACTAACACTTTAATGGGACAATCCTGAATCTAGAACTTGTAGTCCTGAAGGTTTTCTAAATTGGCAATACACCTGAAGAAGACCATAGGACACAACAGCTGAAGTAACAAAAGTGTGGCGATTAGTCCAAATGTAAATAATAACTCCTCATCCCAAATATTTAAACAGAAATTTGATAGATATTTACTTAGTTCTGCTTCGTGAACATTGTTGGTTTTATCCCTATCAAGCACTTCCCACTTCCAGCCTTGTGCCATGATATGTTGATTACTCATTAGCAGTGTCATGGTCTGAAAAAGCTGAGTTAAGCAAATAACACTGTCATGCTGATTTTCTAAGTGTAACTTAAATGTGGCACAATGCTAAAAGTTGTGGTACCAAATGATAATCGAACTCACTTTCTTTTCTATTTTTTTTCAGAATGTAGGCAATCATGGCTCTCCACCTCCCTTTATCCCTTGCAGCTTTCAGCAAGTTCCTTCCCTCTGCTACCTCCCCCAGACCACGTTCTATCATTCACTTGCTTAAGCCTGCCAGGTTTGTCCTGCATTGCTTTCCCTTGTTTCTCTTTCTCTATTCGACCCGTGAGTATCAGATTCTCCAGGCCCCCTTTCCTCTTTATGTGTCCCAGAAACTTCAGCTGCCTCTTCCTGATGTTAAGTATAAGCCTTCTCCTTGTCTGCATCCTATCTAAGATCTCATCGTTGCTTACACGCTCAGTCCATGATATCCTTAGCATTTTTCTGTAGAACCACATCTACATCACTTCAAGTCTCTTCTTCATCTTTGAGGAGATCGTCACGTAACAGCTCAGTATTTTTTTCTTTGTCACCAAAGAAATCCTCCTGTCTTGCTTACTCTGTCCAGCTTTTGGAATGTGTCCTTGGCCCTCCCAGTACGTCTACAGATCTCAGTGTTGAACTTACCATCCTCTGTAAAGACTCTTCCCAGAAATTTAAACTTCCACATCTGCTTGATTCTAATGTTCCCAACCTGAGGATCGCATTTAGGGCTCATTCTCTTACTGATGACCATCCATTCTGTTTTCTTGTAGTTTATGCTTAGTCATTTCTTCTCACTCTCCATTGCTACTTTCTGTAGGAGATTTTACATAGTCGTAATTGCTAACCATTAAACTATGTTGAGGTGCCTAACAAATAACACTGTTATATTTTAAACAAAAATGAATAATTTTTATTAATTTAACATATAAATTACTTAATGATAGTTAAAACAATTTTCTTTCTTTTCTATCAAAAGCAGAAATAAATATAAACCTTACAAAGCCTGTTTCTAACGCCCTTCATTAATTATTCTTTTCTTTATGGATCATTATGCATTGTTGTATATAGTTGGGGTAAAAAAAAGTGAACAGTTTTGACAAGAGAACCTTGTTTTCATATGTCAGGAACATATCTTTTTCACTTTGCAATCAAATATGTTTTATCTTTCAATTGTTTTAATCCCTGTTCATATTCAATCATACATTTTTGCACAACAGCTACAAAGACTTTTGCTTTTCTTCAATAGAAGAACCACATCAAAATGTTCTTTCCTCAACTGAATCTTTTAAATTAGTTTTAAGGAAAAATGACATGTTACACGATTAAAATATTATTTTTATTTGTTATTCAAATAAATTTTTAGAATTGAATGAAATTTTAATTTGAATCAGTTTTTAGAATTGAATGAAATTTTAATCCGAATGAAGTTTTAGAATCTGTATCAAATCAGTTTTGCCGTTCTAAATGATCATTTTCTTAGAATTTAAATTTTTTCAAGGAAGTTTCCACAAAAATAAATAAGCAGTGATTTGGAATAATAATCAAAGGTGGGGTGGGATATTTTTTTAAAATTAACCAGTGGGGAGGGGAAAGTATGATTATTACAGTTCCATGAGTACTAACATCATTAATCATTATCTTGTAACTTTAAACAAAATTCACTTGAATTATTCTTAGCTCATGAGCAAAATAATCAGTAACTTTGGTGTAAAAAATCTAGCTTCCACCAAATAAGCAGCAATTGCTACTGACTACTAGACATTATACATACTGCCTGACTTTAGTCTTTACCCCAACTTTACTCTATATTTTGTCATGAAGTGTTATATAATTTTATTGTAAGGAGAGATTACTGCAAAGTGGATTTTAAACATCAGAAGTACAGATTTTCAAAGATGGATATCTGCTTTATAAGTTTCAATTGTTCATTACAACAGGAATACATTTACTGAGTTTCTCTAAAGTGTTGTAAGATACAAATGAAATATGTAATACATTAAACTCAATAAATAAAATATTTTGATTTTGTGTAGAGTAATTTTTATAAGGTAAGCAATGCATATCTAACCTCTTACAGTACATACCACTGACCAGTAGTAATGGTCTCTGATATTTTTACAACTCCTACATAGTAATGGTAATGTCAGCCATTTCTTTATAATGAAACATTTGGCATTCATTGACCAAACAGCCAGTGCTACTAAAGTTATACTTTTATTCCCTCTTTGGTCATCAGGCTGGAATCAAAGTGTAGTATCTGTTCTCTTCATCTTTAATGGTAATGGTAATATTTCTTATAAGGAAACATTCAGCATTTATTGACCAAACAGCTAGTGCTACTTGAGTTAAGCTTTGCTTCACTTACTGGCCATCAGGATGGAATCAAATTGTAGTATCTGTTCTTGGGTGGGCAACCTACATTATATCTCTCAATTGTGTTTCTGACTTTGGACAGAGCGCAACTCAGTTATATTTTTGTCTTTGAACAGATCATAATTGATAAAATATTGAGAGGTGCCGGGTTCTGGAGAACAGCTGTCCATGGCAGTACCTCCCTCATTGTAATAAAGAAGGGGGATCGGCTGTAATACTGATATCAGTGCAACTGACGGTTGCGGGGACTGGGATATTTTTGGACTTCTCCTGGGTGCACACACACACACACACACACACACACACACACACACACACACACACACACACACACACACACACTTGGCTTCCTCACATTATACTGACCTTTTGTCACATTTTGCCAGCATGGAGTAACAAATAAATACCAAGTGCGATATCTGTTCTCATCACCTCTGCTTAATATTAGCCATTTCCTTATAAGGAAACGTTTGGCATTCAGTGACTGAGAAGCCAATACTTCCATTGGTTGAAATTTATAAAATCTTTCTCTTAAAACAATTTTTTTAGGAAAATAGGTTTTTCAAATCCAGTAGCTGTTATCACTCTTTCAAGTATTGATGGAGGTTTCCTTCCTAACCTTTTGTTTGAAGTGGTGTGGAATGTTAAGATTTTGATTATATCATTATTTTCTCTTTGTGCTATCCATATAATAAAGTGATATCATGAAAACAAAAAGACGAAAACATGAAAATGAAAAAAAATGAAAATACTTGATCCATTGAGAATTATGTCATTTAAAACATGTATATAAAGATAAATGAGAAATTAACTGTT